TGCAGCCCAGGCGGGTAGGCGCGCCCCTCCCCGCGCCTGGGAGCGGGGGGCTGGAGGCCGCGGCGGGGACGGTCCCTGGGCCCCGGGTGGCTTGACGGAGGGGGGCCGCGGACGGCCGGGCGGGGAGGGGCAGGGGACGGGAGGGGAGTGGCTAGAACCTTGGAAAAGGCAGACAGGAACCCCAGAAGACGACCCCGCTCAAGTCCCTGGTGAGGATTCATCTTTAAGAGGCCGTCTTGGAGCCGGAGATTGCAAAGTCCCCCTAGGAGAGGGACTCTTTCGTCACCCGTCCACTCCTGGCCTCCAGACTGAGCTGGAGACCCCCCACCCTTCCTGCTCAGGGCTGTGGTCATCATTTAACAAAGGCCAGACGCCCATTCCTGATAAACAGAGTTGTTTACCCATGACGTCCCCCCTGGAGAGAAGGTCCGTGTTCTGAAAACCTGACAGTCGCTCCCTAATCCTAAGATGGACGCAGGACCCTGTTACCTCCTGGGATTGTTTATCAGAATCATAACTAGGTGCGACCTGTTGATTGCTGGTGGAGGCCTGGAGGCCAGGATTTGGGCTGAAGGGACCGTGAGGCTCTGAGCTGCCATCTCTCTTTGCAGGGCTGGGGGAAGCAGCCATGCCTACCTGGGGGGCTGGTTCCCCATCCCCTGACCGCTTTGCGGTGTCTGCGGAGACAGAGGACAAGGTGCGGGAGCAGCAGCCCCACATGCAGCGCATCTTCAGCGTGGGAGTGAGCGTCCTCGCAAAGGACTGTCCGGAGAACCCTCACATCTGGCTGCAGCTTGAGGGCCCCAAAGAGAACGTCAGCAGAGCCAAGGTGAACTCCTCCTCTCCCTTGATCCTTGCAGGGAACAAGGACTCCCTCCCCCACGGAGGCAGAGGAGAGGAGGGGGCTGGGGAGGATCTCCATTCCTCGGTTGTCTCACTAGCCGCCTGAGTGCCCTCGAACTTTGTCTAACTCTATATTTGTCTGGAGTTTGGGTTTAATTTCTGTTGTGACGGCCCAAATTCTGCCAGGACTTAGCCCCACGGAGGCAGAGGAGAGGAGGGGGCTGGGGAGGATCTCCATTCCTCGGTTGTCTCACTGGCCGCCTGAGTGCCCTCGAACTTTGTCTAACTCTATATTTGTCTGGAGTTTGGGTTTAATTTCTGCTGTGACGGCCCAAATTCTGCCAGGACTTAGGGACAAATTGCTTTGTGCTCTTTGGGAGAATAGAGATAATCTGGCTGAGCAAGTGAGCCCCGCCAAGGAATTCACTGTGGGGTGGGGGGGCTGAGCCACATTTCTTCCTTTAGAGTCAGGTGGGAGTTCCAGTATGGTGCCACGCCTACCAGACTTGTGATTGAAGTCTCAGTTTTCTTATCTAAAAAATGGGAATAATAGTTGTATCTATCTGGTTATTCCAGGCATCCTGGAGCTCAGGGGAGAGCAATGAGCTGAAGGCAGGGCTGGGCCACTAGTTTCCTTTTTCTGACCCTGTCCCCTCTCCCCACACCCCACCACCCCTGCTAGGAGTACCTGAAGGGTCTCTGCAGCCCCGAGCTGCAAGATGAAATCCACTACCCGCTCAAACTGCATTGCGTCTTCCTGGGAGCACATGGCTTCTTCCTTGATTGCCTGGTCTGGAGCACATCAGCCCACCTGGTGCCTGGGGTGCCTGGCTCACTGAAGATCAGTGGCCTGACTGAGGCCTTTGTCATGGCACAGAGCCGGGTGGAGGAGCTAGTGGAGAGGCTGAGCTGGGACTTTCGGCCGGGGCCGTCCCCCGGGGCCTCTCAGTGTGCTGGAGTGCTGAGAGACTTCTCTGCCCTGCTGCAGCCCCAGGGGGATGCCCACAGAGAGGCCCTGCTGCAGCTGCCCTGGGCTGTCCAGGAGGAGCTGCTGAGTCTGGTGCAGGAGGCGTCCAGGGGGCAGGGGCCACAAGCACTCTCTTCCTGGGATGGGAGGAGCCCAGGCTTGCTGGGTGCTCAGGGCCAGGGTATCAGAGCTCCCCCAAATGAAGGCAGAGAGTCCCTGGACACTGGATCTGTGGGGCGGGAAGAGTCAAGGGGAGAGAGTCATGCTGTGGAGAAGGAGAGAGGGAAACAGCATGGTGCCAGGGAGATGGATTTGGGGTGGAAGGAGTTGCCTGGGGAAGAGGCCTGGGAGAGAGAAGTGGCCTTCAGGCCACAGTCAGAGGGTGGAGGGGCAGGGGGGTTGGGGCCTCTGAAAGGGAAGGTCTTGGGGAAGGAGGGGGTGCCTCAGGAAAGAGGAGGGTTCGGTGTCCAGAGTGAGCCTGCCAGTGCCCATGGCCCTTGTCAGAGGGCAGTTCCACCCCGGGGAGCCTCCCTCCTCCAGCGGCTCCACAATGGGCAAGCCTCGCCACCAAGAGTGCCCAGCCCTCCACCTGCGCCTGAACCCCCATGGCACTGTGGAGACCGAGGAGACAAGCAGCAGGCCATGGCTCGAGGTCGGGGGTCTCCATGGAAACGAGGTACCCGGGGGGGCAACTTGGTGACTGGCACACAGCGTTTCCAGGAGGCCCTACAAGATCCTTTTACCCTGTGCCTTGCCAATGTGCCTGGCCAGCCAGACCTCCGCCATATTGTCATTGATGGCAGCAACGTGGCCATGGTGTGAGTACCTGGGGAGGGGTTGAGGGTCCTGGGGAGGGATGATGAGACAGGCATCTTTGTTCACCTTGGGGACATGTGCTGAGGGGCTGGCACGCCAGGCCCCTCCTCTGGGCCTCCAGTGCTGACCCCTTCCCACTGCAGGCATGGCCTTCAGCACTACTTCTCTAGCCGGGGCATTGCTATTGCTGTGCAGTACTTCTGGGACCGTGGCCACCGTGACATAACTGTCTTTGTGCCTCAGTGGCGCTTCTGTAAGGATTCCAGGGTAAGAGGTGAGTTAGGCCTGGTCATCTGTGTCTTGGGATAGGCTCTGTTTCCACCTCGAGGAGTACCGATTGTGTTCTTCTTTTTCTGTAGAGAGTCACTTCCTGCAAAAGCTGTACTCCCTTAGCCTTCTCTCCCTCACCCCCTCACGAGTCATGGATGGCAGGAGGATCTCCTCCTATGATGACAGGTACTTGCTTTTCTTCTGGCCCCAGGCTGATATTCAAGGAGCCCAATGGGATACTGAGAGAGAGAGAAATTCCTGACCATTGTATTTGTGCTGTTTCCAAGCCTCGGTAATGGGAAAGGGGCCAGTTATTCCTCCAGGTGCCCTTAAGACTGGATAGGTAACCCTGCCCTGCAGGCGAGATGAGACTGGAGACAACCGTGTGCCTATTCATCATTCATTCTTCATTCATCAAACTACATGATGCCTGGTATTTATATAGTGCCTTACTGTCTAGAATATACTGGTTTAAGGGAAAGCTGGGAAAGCTGGTGACATGAATCACTGACAGACGCCTTCTTATAATCAGAATTTTCAAACATGTAGAGAAACTCCCCAGCACTCTGGAAAAACCAGAGTAAATGTTCAAAATAACAACTAAAAGGAAGAAAACGTAATCCATGAATAATAGGACTGTACAAAACATGGACTTAGGGGCCGGCCCGTGGCTCACTTGGTAGAGCGTGGTGCTGATAACACCAAGGCCACGGGTTCGGATTCTATATAGGGATGGCCGGTTGGCTCACTAGCTGAGCGTGGTGGTGCTGACAACACCAAGCCAAGGGTTGAGATCCCTTTACCGGTCATCTTTAAAAAAAAAAAAAAAAAAAAAAAAGACAAAACATGGACTTAGAATTGGAAGATCTCAATTTGAGCCCCAAGTGTGCTATTCAATGACTTTGACCATGGACCCATCTCTTAGTGATTAATGTCTTTGTCTCAGGGTCCTCCTCCATTCATTCACCTTCCTCGTGAATATCAAAAGATAAGGTATGTGCTTGCCTCAGTTGAGGTGCTAAGCAACAGTACGTTGACATTCACTCTCCACTTTGCACAGACCTAATCAGGTGTGGCAGAGGGTATTATCTCTGTTTTACAGATGTGAAGACAGAGGGGAAGAGTGGTTATCTTGGCAAAGAAAAATCAGACCCCAAATCTGCTGGATGGTGTAAATAAAAAATACAGGGCACACTCCTGCCACAGCATGCTTACTTGGTGTGGGAAATGGACAGATTTTAAAAGCTAATTAGATAATTTAAAAATTTTACAACTACTAGTTCTTTATTCTTTAGGACATAATTCAGTTTTAAAAAATTAGTTTCCAAGTCATAGTGATCATGCATTTTGTGTTTTCAAATACTTAACTTTTACTCCTTGAGTAAATGGTATTCCGCAAAAAGGCAGTTCACTTTCTCCCGATGCTATTCTTTTTTATGCCTAGATTTCACAGATTATCCAAGATAAGAGACCTTTTTTCCACACCAGCATTGAAACAAAACAATTGAAACTGAAGGTTGAGTCAGTTGTAGTGAATTTTAAAGGCACATGTCTGCGCAGTTGTGTAGGACCTGGTGGGCAGATAACACAATATTAACTGGGAATTTTGCCTAGTAACAGTGAATGAGCACAGTGGTAGCTGGCATAGCCCTGCTGAATGAATGCTGCTGAGCAGCATACAACGTTAACATGATAATAGCAAAATGTACTTAACCAGAAATACCTTTTGCATATCATATGTGTACCATATACATTTATGTCATCCCCTTACTCCAGAACCATCCTCACGTATTCCTCTGTCACATGTATTCCTGATTCCCAGTCCCCTCTGTGCCACACCGTCTTTCAAATACTGAGTGCCCACTTAGTACGAGGTGTGTGGCCTGCAGAAGGAAGTGGGAACGCTGGCAACAAGACGTTATTCTTGACTTCAAAGAGCTGAAAGAAACTGTAAATTAAACGCTATAGGAACTCAGAGGGAAGGGAGTCCCCTTCTGGCTGGGGTTTTATGGGAGTGGGAACGCTGGCAACAAGACGTTATTCTTGACTTCAAAGAGCTGAAAGAAACTGTAAATCAAACGCTATAGGAACTCAGAGGGAAGGGAGCCCCCTTCTGGCTGGGGTTTTATGGAAAGGGAGGGATTAGTTTTTTGTCTATTGAGAAGGATGTGGGATGGGGATGGTCTGGATCTCTTCGTTTCTAAACCTGTTAAAAAGACCACCACCACCTCATGAATCCTACCCCAGTCCTGTGGAATCACAATTACTGAAGCGGGACCGAGGCATCTATTTTTAAAAAGTTCTCTTGGTGATTCTCTTCATTAGCAAGGTTTGGGAAGCTCCTTCCGGATGGAGGGAATAGTTTGAGAAACATAGAAGTCAGATAGCACAGGGCATTTTTGGAGAGCAGGGTATAATTTGATCATTGATTTTTGCTGGAGTTGAGGGTACATTAGGGAATACTGGGAGAGAGAAGGCCATAAGGGTGGCTTAGAGCTGGGTTCTAGAGTGCCTTGGCTGCCAGGCCTGGGCATGTGGACTTTATTCAGTAGGTAAAGGGCAAGTGTGGAAGAGTTTTGTGTAGGGGAAGGGCATGCTTTCTTTGGAGAGGGCAGGAGAGACTGGAGGGTGGTGAATGGTTACAGGCAGGGGACCCCCTTGTTAGGAGGCTTTGCAGTATCTGAAACACTAAGGTGTTAGTTGTGGAACTGGAAAGACGGGGCAGAGTGGAAGCCTTTTAAGAGGAAGCACATAATGGATTTGTGAGTGATTGGTGGGTAGGGTGAAAGAGTCAGAGCCAGGCCTTACTGTCTCTTACTAACAAGTCACAAAGTGTTGGATGACGGACTGTGGTGAGTGGATGGGATAATACTATTGCAAGACCACCTTGGATTTGTCTTTGTTTCCTCTCTAACCCATGGCACCTGTATTCTGTAGCTGGGTCAAGGTGAGGTAGGGGGCCAGATCTCTATCACCAGAGTGGGTCTTGGGAGTCTGTAACACTCTTTGGGGTTGGGGCCTTGGAGAATCCCAGAATGGTTGCTGTGGTTTTTGAGACAGGTTCATGGTGAAGCTGGCTGAAGAGACCGATGGGATCATTGTCTCCAATGACCAGTTCCGGGACCTGGCGGAGGAGTCCGAGAAGTGGATGGCAATCATCAGAGAGCGGTGAGGGAGCCCTCCTTGAGACTAGGGCACAGACTCAGACCTTTCTCTAAAGCCAGCTCTGCTCTGGCCACTGGGTGAGAACTGTGGGAAGGGGCTTGAAGTTGCCTTCAAGGATGGTAGCCAGCAGCTTTTGGTGGTGGTGGTCTCAGTTTTCTGGGAGGTGAGCAAGGGCCCCTTGATAACCACACATCCTATTTCCCTAACTAGCCTGCTGCCCTTCACCTTCGTGGGAAACCTTTTCATGGTCCCTGATGACCCGTTGGGGCGAAATGGTCCCACCCTAGATGAGTTCCTGAAGAAGCCAGCCAGGTAACGCCCCAGATTCTCTGCAGGCCTGGAGACTTGGGTGGAAATGTGACCTCGGTTTGGGCTGGCTTAATTTTGTAGTAGTTTGAGTTGTCTTGGGTTTGGCCTTTAAAGCTTCCCAGGGAATCCTGACACAGAACCTCCTGGTTGGAAGGGAAAATCCTGCTTCCTGTTTCCTGTAATAGATGTGTTTGACGGAGTTATTTGGAAGATGGTTGTTTGTACTGTTAGGCAGTTGTATTCAGCACTCCCTCTACTGTGATTAATTTAGGACTAGAACTAGATCATAAGAGCAGCAGAGTTCACCTTCCTGGTTCCAAAGGAACGGTTCGTCTCCCCTTCAGAAGTGGGTTGATACTGCCACTCAGTGGTCAGCTTGGGGAACTTCAGGATTGCTCCCCCAGAGCTAGGAATAGGCAGGGCAATGAAGAGTGGGGAGGCCCACTGTGGTCTAATTTCCCTCTGGCACGCTCGTCAGCTCTTCTTGTTCTGCCTCTTCCCAGGACACAGGGGTCTTCTAAGGCTCAGCATCCTTCCAAGGGCTTTGCAGAACAAGGTAATCAGCAGCAAGGGAGAGAAGAGGAAAAAGGCAATGGTGGCATTCGGAAGACCCGGGAGACAGAGCGGCTCCGGCGCCAGCTGCTGGAAGTGTTTTGGGGTCAGGATCACAAGGTGGACTTTATCCTGCAGCGGGAGCCATACTGCCGGGACATTAACCAGTTGTCTGAGGCCCTGCTCAGTCTCAACTTTTGAGCCTCACCTGTCTGAGTGGCTGCTGCCCGTTAGCTCCAGCCTCCTCCAGCTCCTCCCACCTCAGCCCCTTCTGTGAGAGTCTCTCTGCTGCTCAGACTGTGACCCAGACTCATTCTGAGTTGGTGCTTTGGGTTAGGGAAGCACCGAGGAAGGGCATTCCAGTGTGGGGGACAGGTCCATAAAGTGACTTGATCTCATCTTGAGTTAGGACTTTAACCAGCTCTCAAGAGGTCCTGCTCAGCCTTAACCTCCCAACCTTGCCTCAGTGTAGGGAGTGGGGGCTGCTGGAAAGGCTAAGTCCTGGAGACTGGGACTCTTGGCTCCACCTCCAAGCTGAGTTGGGGTGGAGGATAGGGTGGGTGGGAGGTGGCAAGGAAGCTAAGCTTTTCCTCCCCCTGGCTGCTGCTCTGGATGGCCAGAGGACTGGATGCTTCCCAGGCCTATCTGGGCTTCTGAGAGCATTGAAGGGAATGCTGGGCCCTGGAAGTGCTGTAGTGTATGGGGCCTGGGTCACAGTGGGGTAGCAGTGAGCTGGTGAAGGCAGAGGGAGACATGGCTTCTAGTCTCAGCTGTGCCTGTCTGTGACTTTTGATTGAGCTGCTTGGCCTTTACTTCTGCCTACTAATCAGGGGTAAAAATACCTGTTGGGAAGAGAAATGAGAACATAGAGGAAAGCTCCTTGGAGGAAAAGTGCTTGGACCAAGTCTCAGGTGTGTTTGCTTGTGGCTGCACAGGCTCTCTAACCAAAACCTCACTTTCAGAGAGATGTGGGTCCTCTTTCTCCAGGGCCCATGCCCTAGATTTTAACACTGCATCCTCAGTATAACATGCCCTATAATGGCTGCGTACCTTTTGGGCAACCTCCAAAATCCACACTTACAATAGTTAAATTAGGGTTGACTGCATTACCAAAATACTCTCAGGGTTCCTATAAATGGCAGCTGTCCTATTGCATTCAAGTGTTTACAGATTCACAAATGTGTCGGAAAATCCCTGGTTAGATGCACTTACTGGTGTTGAGAGCATTCACCAAATCGATGAAGCCATGCTCTGCAATGACAATGTTAATGTGATCTTACCCTAACGTTTTCTCTACAGAAGATATGTATAAAGCGAGGCACACTTCTGCTTTTTTTGTGTGTCTCTGTGTGTGTATGGGTATGGGAGGGCTTATAGAGGTTGTCTCTAGATGAACCAATTACCTGGAAAATGAAAACTGAAGAATTAGAGTTGGAAGGTACCTGACTGGCCACCAAATCAACTCTGCTGTCACATTATGACATGGTCTGCTCTCTCCACCCTGTATCTTCTTGAAGTCCTCCTGTGCCAGGGAATTGATTACTTCCAAATAGCACATTCCCTGTGTAGACAGTGTTAATTAGTAGTCATTCCTTTAGTACAGCCTAAAAAATATTTTTCTGTTGCTTCTACCTTTGAGGCTGGTCATTCCCCCCGGGAACAATACAGTCAGTCAACTTCCTAGAGTTCAGGACCAGATAAAGTATGACTGACGTCCCTGGGGTGTTCCGGTTGGGCCCCTGAAGTGAGTCCCTGGACAAGAGCTCAGGCTCTGATTTCTGCCTCCTGCTGAGTGGCACGGGGAATTGAATACTGCATGGGAGCTGAATCATGACGGAGAGGGCTCCTGTGCCTGGTGGTGATTTACACCACTAGACTGTATGGACCCAGGCTAGGGGTGGTTGTGTTGGAGACATGTTGGTCAGGGAGGTGAGAGCTGAATCATGACGGAGAGGGCTCCTGTGCCTGGTGGTGATTTACACCACTAGACTGTATTGACCCAGGCTAGGGGTGGTTGTGTTGGAGACATGTTGGTCAGGGAGGTGTCAGTGACTCAAAGACAACGCATAGACTGTTGGGGAGAAAGGAGACTGGTTAATATGGCCTGAACAGGGGGCTGGGAGAATTACTTTTGGTAACTTGGTGGCAGATTTCACAACTTTAGGCACATAAAGTGTCCTGGATGAGCACTTGGAACTTCTTTTTTTCCAGATAGAGTTGAGTTTGTAGTTCTTGATTGGTTCCCTGTCCTTTTCACTTTCAATGGTGGTGGGTGTGCAGTAGGCTAGAGGTGTCTTCTGCGCCTTTGTGCTAAGGACCCTGGTTGACTGAAGTGGCCCCAATCAGATGACAGGCAAGTCCTAAACTTACACACAGGGATGTTGGCTTTGAAATGCTGCAGGTTGATAAACTGGGACCAATGTGTGATTGCTTTATTCACTGCTTATTTTTAAACTTCAATTGAAGGCTGACCTACACTGGGCCTCATCTCTTCCTCTGCTGTCATCCTAATGGCACTCTGTGAACAGGTGTGCAGTGTGACTACTGAACCCATTGGAAATGGATCATCATTTCTCTTTTCTAATAATCTCTACCCTTATCATAACCTCATGCCCCCAATTGGTGACCAGCTCTTTTGGTAATGGAGGGACCAAGAAAGGAGAAGGTGAGGAGAGATGTTGCCCACTTTAACTTTCAAAACTCCATGTAGGGAGAATCTTCTAGGGTGACATTCTTTAAAATAAATTCCAGGAGAATCTAGGTCAAAGAGATGAGTGGAAGCTAGCGAGATAATTTATCTTTATTGCCTAATCTGTAGTGCATTCTCTACACAGCATAAAGAAGTGGGGCAGCAACGGGACGTGTAGAGAAACCAAACTTGGGAATTGTGGAGTTGAAGAGGTTGAGGTCCCAATTTGATGACATTACAACCTTGAGACTGTGGGCACTCTCTCAGTTAAATAAGGTAGAGCAACAGAACAATGGGAAAGAAGAGAGGAATGGGAGAGGAATCCCAGGTGGTTTCAGATGTCAAGTAGAGGAGTACCTGAGGCTGGCTCCTAGCATCTAACCGGGAAACCTCCGTTCAGGGACAGACCTCAGGCCCCTGCCATGAGCCTCCCTACTTAGGCTATGACTTCCTTCAAGGCAGCCCCTAGCTCTGGGAAGGAATACTGGTAGCCACTGGACAGTGTCCGCCGTGGGACCACCTTCTGGCCCTCCAGCAGCATGATGGCACGCTCTTGCCCAAAGACGGCTTGCACCACTGTGCTGGGCAGAGGGATGAAGGCTGGGCGGCCCAGGGCAGCACCCAAGGCCTGGGCAAATTCAGCATTGGTAGTGGTGGACGCTGGAGCCACTCCATTCAGGACCCCCTGCACGTGGTTTGCTTCAAGGGCATGGGTCAGGATTCCTGCCAGGTCCCTGATGTGAATCCAGGGGAAGAACTGGTGGCCTGAGCCGATGGGGCCCCCCAGGCCCAGGCGGAAAGGCAGCAGCATGTGGCCAATGGCGCCACCCCCACGGCCCAGCACAACCCCTAGAGCAAGCAAGAGCGATCCTAGAGGGAAGCCCCTCAGCCTCAAAGCAGCTTCACTGCTCCGCCTTGTTTCTCACAGCTTCCTCTTCCTCACTCTCCCCAATCTGACTCAGCTCTGTAACAGAGGTGAGGAGTGTGGCTCTGGGACTTCCCATCCTCCTGTCTACAGGTTGGCCAGAGTGGTGCCATCTTTTCATTCTCTGTAAACTCAGCTGCCCTGATCCCACCACTGCCCCACATTCCAACCCTGTCTGATACCCAGACCTCTGATTCTCACCTGAGCGCACCACCACCTGGCGTGTAGAATCTCCAGGCAGCCTGGCTGCAGCTTCCCATTTGGTTACGAGATTGGAGAAAAAGTCAAAATCCCCTCCGGGGCTGTCCTCATCGTACTCCGCAGTCAGGCTGGGCTGGTAGTAAGCTGCCGGTGGAACAGCACTCATTTGCTCTGGGTGACCCTGGTCCTGCCCAGCCCTTTGCAGCCAAGGCTTCCCTTGGCCTCACCCTCTTCGGCCCTTGAGATCTCCCCATGTGAAGACAGAGCCATGGATATTTTCCCCTTGAGCTTTTCCATGACCTGACCTGTTCTAGCCCTGGAAGAACTCATCTTTGGTTTCAAGGCTAAACCGAGGCTACTAGAGTGTAGTGGTTAAGAACAGAAACTTGGGTGCCAGGCTGCCCGAGTTTGAATCTCAGTTCCACCATTTATTAACTCTGTGACTTTAGGCAAATTATTTAACCTCTCTGTATGGAGTTTTTGCATCTTTAAAATGGGAATAATAGCACCTACTTCAGTGTTGTTGTGAGGATTAAATGATGTAATGTGTATAAAACACTTAGAATACTCATAGTGGCTGGTATGTACATTATAATTGTTAGCAATTACTTGGTCCTAAAGGTGACACACAACAATCAGGAACTCTGTTCCCAAAGAACTGTGGTGTGAGAATCAAGGGACTTGGGAGTAGGTGGACCTTTCCTTGGTACTAGAAGTGGTGCCACTCCTCCCTCTCTCTTTGAGGGTTTTCATTTCTCAGGAAAGTATACAAAGGTTAGGAGAAACATGCATGGATCAAGGGCCTAGGAAGTTATTGTGCCTGGAAAAGACCAGTGCTTTGGGGTGTGTATAGCTACAAGGGCCTGAGCCACCTTCTCACTCTGCACCCACTCTCCCTCCCCATTTCCCTGGCTAACGTAATGGGTTGGTGATTTGGAGGCATACCTACACCTGTGACTAAGACCCAGGCCTGGGGGGGTTGTGGAGTCTTGGCGATGGCTTCAGCCAGCATTTGAGTGGTCTCCAGGCGGCTGCTGAGAACCTCTTTTTGGAAGGCTTCATTCCACCTGCAGGAGAAACACAGTGGAAATAAAAAGCTACTAAATACATACATGCACATATCCTTCCCACTCTTTCCCTGGGGGCCATTCCACACTCATTTATAGTAAAACTCTAAAGGTCCATGTCTCCTGTAAAGGAAAAAGGCATCTCTTTCTTGGGCATCCTGAGTTATACGTGAGGACTTAAGTCAACTGGGTGACTGGGTAGGGGAGCAGGTGGGCGTGGTGGGCGTGGAGGAGTGGGGCGGGAGGAGTAGTCCGGAATATCGGTCTAGTTCTCAATCTGGCAACTCCATTATCTACACCGCACAGATTCTCATCATAATCGAACCCTCTCCTCCCTCTGCTCTGGAGGATATCCGCTTTAGGACCCGGGCTGACCTTCGGAGAGGGTTGAGGATGTTCTCTCCGGCCAGGTTGACAGCGGCATCGCAGGTGGGGAGCCCGGATCTAGCGAGCTCATCCTGTCAGAGAAAGCACACAACGGCCCCGGCCCCTCCCTGAGCCGCCAATCTTTGCCCTCCCACCCAGCTTCCAGAGGCTGGACATACCCACGTGATTCGACCGGGCCCAGGCTGTCGGGAGACCAGCGTCACTTCGTGGCCCCTGGCTTTCAGCAGCTTGGTTAAGGCTGTCCCAACGAAGCCCGACCCGCCACCTAATCGGAATATACAAATTGTTTATGCTGGGGGGGAGTCGGGGGTGCTCCTTCCGTCCCCGTTTGTGGCCCCCTCCTCTGGTGCCATCCCATCTGACTCCAGACTTCTCCCTTGCTTCTCTCCCTCTCCCTGCGATGCAGAGGTGACACAGGTCACAGGGATTAGGGAGATTCGGCTTCTCGGGATAGGAGGCCAGGGCCAGGTTCTCGTACATGAGACGGTGCCCTCTCCATAACGGTCCCCCAGCACTCAATCCCTGGCTAAATCCGCCCTCTATTCTCCCTTCTGCCCTCCCTCACCCACAAGCACCCGCATAGCGACCAGGACCTAACGCGCCTGCGCAAGATTTAAAGTTTACCCGCCTCTTCCCTGCTTCAGACATAACTACGACCTCTCTGCGCATGCGTCTTCCAGGAAACGTGCTCCAATTGGGGCACGGACATTGAGACTGGGCGTGGCCCTCCCCGGCGACCCGGAAGAATTTATGAAGATAGGCTGTATATCTCATTGGGAGGCGTGGCAGGGACGGCTAGGGGTTTAGAGCGGGGGATGGGAAAGGGGTGGGGAGGGCTGGAGGCCGGGGGAAGGTTTTAGTGCAGGGAAAAGAAACAAAACGAAAACCGAAACCAACAAAATCCTTGACCTAAAACTGGGAGCTACACAAACCGCAGAATTCTGGATGTCCATTGTCGAAGCAAAGCACTTCAGTCTGTAAGGAAATTTAAATGAAGTTTGCAAACCAGGGAGACCACATCTTAGCGTGAGAAGTCAGTCTGCCCAACAAACAGAAAAGACGAGG